TTTTTTTTTTTTTTTCTCTCTTTTTTTCCCCTTTTCCTAGAGACGGAGGATGATCCAGCGTTGAGAGCAGGACCGCGCAGGGAGGTTTTTACCACCAACGTGCCGATTGGCCTCCAGATCACCACTGTGGTCACCTACCAGGAGAAGCCCGAAACGCCCCTGGCTCGCCTGGCCTATCGTGTGAGGACGTACTTCAAGCCCGAGGCTGGGGGGCCGCCCGAAAGCGAGTGTCCGGAAGCCAGGAATTCTGTGGCGGATCGAGGCCCTTCRTCATGATGCCCCATAGCAGGATGGGGCGGAAAGCCCTCTCACGCTGTTCAAAAACAGGTCCACATCTGAAGTAACCCTGCAAAGCTTGGCGCACCTTCTCATCTGCTCAGATCAATGGTTTGCTGTGCGTGMATGTTCAGGTTATTAAACCCAAGCTGTCCTCAGCTCAACGTGCCGCGAGGTGTTGGTGAAACCGCGTTGCTGCCTCGTGTCCGGCGTCTCCGACGTGGCGGCCGCGTTTCCGTGACCTGGATTTGGTGGTGGGCCGGGCCCCGCTTGCGGGACCTGGTGCTCCACCAGTGGGGTAAACTGGTGAACTGGTGGGAGTGTAGTTTGATCTTCGGGGTGGGAGAGTTGGGTTGTCCTTCAGATCTTTACAGGGCGAATGTCTTTGGTGATATATGAACTACAGAGGTAGAGATGCTGTTGCTGGAAGCACTTGCATCGCAAAGGTAGCGAAACTGTTAATTTCTCTAACATTTTAAGAACACAGGTAACCTATCTGGGAATGTATTAAGTTCCCATGAAAGATGTTCATTCCCATGGGAGCCTGGAGAGTTTTCTGAAATACATCAAAAACTCTGCACTTCTACGTTCCTTGGCTTTCTGACACCTAGTCCAAACTCAGAACCATCAAAGGTTCTGAGTATCAATGACTAGTTTAATAATTCTGTGGCTGAAATAACCCCTCAGATGATAACTTCTCATAAGGCAAAGGTTTTCATTAGTGACTCCCGATGGATTCTGTAAGGCAGCCCCTATAATTGCCACTGCCTCCTTTTCCATAGCCGCTCTCCCAGATCTTGCTGCTGTGAATTGATGGCAGCTTCTGACAGGGAATCCAGGCTAGTTAGTTGGGCAGGGCTTAAAAGCTTTCCCTGTGCCTCGCTTCTAGCTTTTGAGGTTAACAAGTCTCATTGAATCTCTGTTTAACAGTCTGTGGTTGCAGCCTAGTGGRGTACGTGATGCAGGACTGTTAACAGTCCTAGCACATTATGATTAAGAAAGAGAACATATCACAAACATAAACTTTATTTTTAGATTTTTTTTTCCCAGTATTAACTGAGTCTTTGGACAAGTATCTGCACGCTTTCTGCAGTCCTTATGTTCATGACTATGACTGCAGGCTGTTCTGGTACCCCTTTTATTTGGTGAAACATCCCTGCTTTGCTTTGAGTCTTTGTATTTTAAGGGAGAGGCAGACCAAAGATTTTAAGTTATTGTTTTAATCAATCAAACAAACAAAAAGACCTTTCTTTGCTGTTTTATATGTTAAAACAGCATATTTCTCAGAGGAAAACCTGGGCCCTGGGTAAAGCACTACTGTTTCCTATTGCCAAGCATCAWTCAGCTAAGGACCGCTCATTTTTAGAGGAAGTGAAGTTGTCTTCTGAGTAGCTGCTGAGACAATTTAATACGAATGCTAATACCTCGGTATATATTAAAGAGCAGTAAGTGCGACCGACAACTTATAGGTGAATTCAGCTCTCTACCCTTACATGAGCTCTCCCTATGGGCATTACTTCTTATGTGTGCTGATTCTCATTTTATTATAGGGTTTTCCTCATGTTCTTAGGAATATTGTGTCCCCTTATAAGAGGTTGCACCCAGGCCCTCGTCCCTATACGTGTTGTTGCCCTTATGGGATACCTCCCCCGACAGCTGTACCTGCTAAGCCTCATTTCTATAGGTGTCCCCCTCAGTCTCTACTGCTATCACCCCATTTTTCTATGGGGTCAGGAGCAGCCTCCCTGTGTGCGGAGGCTTCTCCCTGCCCCTCGAGTCCATAGCCCTTTTCCTGGTTTCTACAGAGCCTCTCCCATGTCCCTGCAAACACTGCCCCCCGACCTCCAGCTTCTCTATCTGCAGGTACTCATTTATTTGGGGGCTTTGTAGGACACTGTTCGGGGCCCAACCTGGAGTCCCACCTTTCCCTGCCCCACACATGTTTCTGTAGGGCTTCCCCTGCCCCCACAGCAACCCCTGTCTCTGTAGGGCTTCCCTTGCCCCCACAGGCTTCTATAGGGCTTTCCTTACCCCCACAAGTATCTCCATCTATAGGTTATTCCCTACCTTACAGCACACTCCCCCTCCCCCTGCCGTCCCTATAGAGCTTCCCCTCCTCCCCACAGACACCCCTGTGTTTCTGTAGGGTGCCCCTCACCTCCACCCCCATCCTTACAGGCCTCCCCTACCCTTACCGACACCTGCTCCTTTCCATAGGGCTCCCCCTTCCCTCGCGGAACCCCCTGTTCCCATAGGGCTCCCCCTTCCCTCGCGGAACCCCCTATTCCCACAGGGCTCCCCCTTCCCTCGTGGACCCCCCTATTCCCATAGGGCTCCCCCTTCCCTCGCGGAACCCCCTATTCCCACAGGGCTCCCCCTTCCC